ATACTCTCTAACCACAGGTCTCCGTGACGTAGACGCTGGTAGACGCTGGCAGACGCTAGATCGATATCTATATTTCCCTAGTCGCTGACGCTGCCGGACGCTCGGAACGCTAGTGGTCGCTGGTGGACGCTGCCGCAAAGTATGAACGCAGCAAGCAAGCACAGTATGAACGCAGCTGTCTGAGGAAAAGAAGTGAAGACGCTGTGTAGTGGTTTCCTTCCGAACACGTTAGCGCCAATAAATTGTTGTCAAACTAAAGCACAATCAGAACAGGTACATTACTCAATTCCTCGGTATCGAGTGATTTACCAATTGCAACATTATTTTATGAATTTCAGACTTTCGATTGCGAACGAGAGATCCAGATTCTTGAGCGCGACATACGACAACAGAAGGAATCAAGCGTTAATGCCAAGACAGCAATTACGTTTGAACAATTAAGGAAAATTCACAAGTGCGTTGAGTTTGTAGAAATTGCGGAATGTTACCAATTTCGCTCAGAATTCAAATACCTTTCATTAGTTTGGGGAAATTCCTCGGACCCCAGAAGGAGGTGTTCTTCGACAGAATTTGCCGAGCCGCCGATATTCAACGTGCATCACTGAAGAATCGTCTCAAGCAGAATAAGGAGGTATGACCTGAGTGCTCGCTACATTATGGCTGGGAATTTCATATATAGTGATTTGAAGTATACACATTTGAAATGACCTGCAACCCATTTCAGAAATTTGAGCCGCCAACAATACTGAACTCCTTTCGACAAGGGTATCAGGAACCCGGAACTCCGAGTGACGGCACACCCTCGCTACTAACGACTCATTGGCAGCAACTTGCACAGTTCAATGCTAATGAGGTGAGTTTTCTCGAGCCATTTGAACTATTCACAGTTTTGGAAAAAAAAAACAGCGCGAAATGAACGTAATGCATTGCCAAGTGACGCACAGTCACCTGACAGCATCATTGATTAGATCAACAAATGGATGGGGTTGGCGGTTAAGTTGTTGGTAGTCATAAGGAGAGTTGTCGAGGTGTAGGGAAGGGGCTGGGATAGGGGAAGGGAGAGAGTTTGAATCACAATTGAAATCATGATATGAAATCTCTCTGGGGTAGTATCTGGTGGTTGGAGGGCTGGGGAAGTGGGAGAGTGGCGCTAGGGCAGGGGTGAGTCATAAGGCTGCGTTCATACTTTGCGCAGCGTCCAACAACGACCAATAGCGTCCAACCAGCGTTCTGAGCGTCTGGCAGCGTCAACGATAAGGAAAGTATAGATATCGATCCAGCGTCCCCCAGCGTCTAGCAGCGTGCGCCAGCGTCTACCGACGTCCACCAGCATCTCGAGGGCTAGGGAAGTATGAGTGTCTAGCGTCCGGGATAGAAAAGTGTGCCATCGCTAGAGGATAGCTGACAGGCTGGTACAGTAATGGGATAAGAGGAGGGTAGCAGCTGCTATTGAAAAGTTGGGGCGATAGGAGGGACACAGCTGTCTGCTAACCTCTCATCGCGTCATAGTCTCCTCTAATCCTAATGCTGCAGTGTACGCTAACGCACGGCTGGTAGACGCCTGCAGAACTAGATCAATAATCTATATCTTCTTAGCGCACTCCGTAGTTCCTAGTCATTCACTCTGACGCTGCCGCACGTTCGAAAACGCTGGTGGACGCTGATCGCAAAAGTTCGCGTGATAAGAGCGACCGACTTCCTCGTTTATCTCGAGGGAACATACGGTCTGGAAGACATGCCACGCTTCCAGAGAGTGTCCGTCTTTCAATACCGTAGCAGAAGAGATCCGAGCTTTTGGTGACGAATTACTTCGCAGACCAACCGATCTACAAGTTGTTTTTGAACTGCCGTGATTGAGAACAAGCGTGATTAGCGTTCGCCTCAGAATGCTTTTGCTTTGGGCAGCTAACTTACTATAATAAGTTGTGGTCGTCTAGAGCATAAAAACTCGCATGTGATTTTAATTCGCTCATCAAAAACCCGTCAAAGATCTTCATCGAACTGTGGAAGAATCAAAGTTCAGCAATAATTCAAAACGATGACGAATACTTTACAACTGTGTTTTCCGCTTCAAAACCTCCGCTTTTAAGAAGGTCACTGTCGTCTAAAGCCAGAGCACCTGTCGATAATATTAGACGCAAGCTCCAGAGTAACAGTGCTGCAAGGAGTTCGAGCTGAGACCCCTTTGGAGAGGGGTCGCGCTGTCACTGCAAACCACTCTGATGAAGTACCTCTGGTGGGAAAATGTTAAAGGCAAGTAGCACGATAAATCCCCAAGAAGTGTAGGATTAGTACGTCTAGCAAAACAGAATCCGGCGCCCCCTAAGCAGGCGCTATTACAAGGAATGTACTTTTATAGCGCATGCTGCAAATTGCAACATGCCGATCCGAGGGCCAACCGCCCCGCCCCGCCCCATTAAATGTCCGATCACGTGCTGATGCTCGTGTATCTCATTTTGGCGAAAGTAGCAATAGGGAAGCGAAGAAATAACTATTTTTTTTTTTGAGGGGCCGGTGGCTGCCTGAGTATATGGACTACATATAGTGCAGTGCTTGCATCTACTGCAGCGGTTATTGGCACGATGCCAACGGGGATCTCGTCCGAAATTGCTTTCTGGGCCGGGTAGAACAAAGGCATTTCTGCAGGTTTTTACCGTCCCACTTGGTTTTTTCGTCATTTCACTACATTCCGCTCGCCCGGTAAGAACCCGTTGTTATGACGCTGTGATGGATTATTTCACCATGAGTGCTGGCCGCTCCTGTGTGAATCTGGGGTCCACTGGGAAAAGGCTCTAAGCACCCACGGCACAGCAATTCGATGGGCGATTTTGGTACGGGAGCTTTTAAGACCCCCCCTCTTTTTCAAGGGCTGGTACGACCCCCCCCATGCTCGTACGATGGCTGACATGGCTGACTGTGGTTGTGGTTTATACTCGGCGAAAAAGTTGTCGAGCGGGGGGTATGTAGTAGGCATGCGACGTACATCGTACGGGCGTACATAGCGCTGTCAAACCGTTCTACGTAACGCGCGACTTATATTCGTCTCCAATTGAGAACGCAGAGACATAGAAATATGAACCTGTGGACAAGCTTTAGGAAGGACAACCCTATCCTACAACTAATGGTTCCCCTATCATACTTATTGTCAGACTAACCTCGCTTTCTGCTGTGTCGTAGTTTCATTTTCACTACATCAATTTATCATGAATTTGCAGAGAGGCGGAGTTACGGCACTCCACGGCGAGACACGGGAACGAGGCAGTGCTTCACTTATTTGCCACAGCTTTTCGCAGTAGTGACACCTGCACTTACGACCCCATCCCATGTACTACCCGCATGCAACATACGACCCCTTCGTCGCGCGTTCCGCGGAGCACTGACCCTGACTCCTCACCCCTGCCTCCCTTCAGTCACGTTTGCACTTGATAGACATTTTGACCAGGAAACAACCACCATTAAGCACGCTATAACAACCAGGAGTCTCGGTTTGACTTGAGGAGTGCATCCTCTACTAGCAAAGGGTCTGGAGTAAAAGCGCCAGTGATTAAGCCAATTAAAAACAAGCTTGAAACAAAATTGAATCTTCACTATCTCCTTCGGCACAATCACAGCCATCTTATTTGCCTTTGCTTAATTACGATTAGCGAAGTATCCACACCGTAAACAATAAATTAAGACTGGAGTTACGGTACGGCAAATGAGTACCAATTGCACGCGTGATTGTGTATGTGTATAAATATACATCTGCTGTCTAAAACGAAAGCCGAAGGCATAACACTCTTTGAGATAACTTTCCGACGCGAGCGCAACCTGTTTGAATCGGCGCCGAGGTGCCGGGGGAAGGGAATTCTGTGCAGGACCAACCGTGGGAAACAAATTTTCGGCAAGTAGGGTGTCTTTGAAGGACCATAACTTCCTCAAAAGCAGACCTATGGGGAAGGGGAAAGCGTATTCGTGTAGAGGAAGGTTTGATCTTCCTAAAAGTGCTAAAATGTTCATGAAGGTCGCAAAAATCACAGAGAAATTGCCTTGGGGATTCGTTGGGGATTTTTTTTGGAAACAGGTTTGAATCAATATATTTTTTTTGTAACTCAATATTTCACAAATCTGAGAACGGATTCGAGTGTATGAAGACTTGCTCTTTCTAAAAACCTATTGAACTGTTTTGGAAGTCCTCGGGATTCATGAGATCTGGCGTTGGGGATTTGTTGGGGAGTACTACGAGCTCGTGAAAAACCCGTTTCCTGTGTACCGTTTCAAGTGAACGTGTTCGAATAACCAGGAACGCATGTAGAACGTATCCTGTGGTGGAGCAGGAGCAGAATATGGTTCGTTCAGAGCTGATCACGCCAACTCTGGATGCGCCGCGCACTGAGGTCCGCGCAGGAAGTGATGGGATGGTGCAACTTGTGCATAATGTGTGTCCACGCGCGCAAATGTGTCTGTAGGATTCAGGGAGGTCCATGGCGAACCTGTGCACTTGTCTACAGTGTTTTCCCTTGCGGATGATGTAGCGTGTCCGTGTCGACGCCGCCAGATCTGTGCTCCGCCAATTGCTGTCTCCGATAAAGGAGACCAAACTGCTGGAGAACGTCTGATACGAACGATATGGTAGTCCTGTCGTTTGTCGAAAAAAGCGGCTCAGCGCCAAGCGTGATCGCGCACACGCCCCATCATCCGCAGCAAACCAGAGTATGAGTTGTAGTGTTTAATCACTTACGAGATGTTGTCGACTTATTAATAATTCCAATTATTTCGGATTAGTTTGATGGATGAAAGTTTTGTACTCATTTTTTACATATCCGAGTTCTCTACGAAGCAAGTTCCGCTACACAGGATTCAGCACACTGACACCTTTGCGCTGCTCGATACTGGCTACCGCACTCATTACGACCCCCCCTCTCCTGGCGGCCAAATACGACCCCCCCCCCTATGGGGATTCCCCAACCAATGCTGTGCCCTGTCAGGCACTGGACGCACAGTTTCTCGTGAGCACGTTATATGCATCACTATGAAACAGGAAAAACCACGAAAAGTCAACAACCTTTCTCAGAAAACCAGAAGGCAGGGAGGCAAATACGACCACCCTCTCTCTCTCTCCGACAACGAGCAAATATGCTCCCACTGCCCTCCCACTACTCTATCCCCACTTCTTCAAGCGAACACTGTGCCGCTCCTCACGAGAGCACTATTGGTGCACGATTACGAAATACTTAAAATGGAATAAAACCAACATACTTGTTCGTTTGATTTCAGTGAAAGCCAAAACAATGGCAATGAAATGCTATTCCGAAAATATGATTATAATTTCAGAACTAATCTGTCGTCCTCCAAACGCTTACGAGCAGTGCCTTGTAGTCAAGGGTAGATATGCACCTCACTATACCGCACCATGATATATGTATACGTAGTATCATGCTTAACCCTGAAGGCATAGAATAGACAATAAAATAGGGTCTCAGACTTTACGATTTCACGATCCCTGATACCGACTCAACTTCCCCTCCACAAATACGAGCAGAATCAGTCGAGCAAAAGGCCACACTGTCCCGTTGCCAACCTCGTATTTTCCATTAAATGAGAGTGGTCATATGTGTGAAAAAAATTAAAAAAAAAGCTGCCCGTGAATCTAGCGTCTAACATTCTTCTCCTTTATCTCGTTCTTTATTCTGATTTGGCTCTTGAGGCACTTTTATGAAATGTAAACAAAATGCCAAATGGACCGCGGAGGCGCCACATTGCTTGGCACATACTCCGTGCTGAAGCATTCCCTTCCCCCAACGCGTCCTACTCTGACCCGTATAGCCAAAAACCTTGGAGCAGCTAATTTCATGTGTTTTGAAAGTAAACTTGTTTCGGCATATAGACAATTTTATCTGAGCCGCTCTCCTCTAAAAAATAAATTTCGAGACCATGTCCCTTGTTAAGCACCCTCGAAAACACGCGTCGTCTTCAACGGCAGAAATGACGCCATTGTTTCGCCCGAGCAGTGCCTGTGAAGAAGAGATGAAACTACCTGCAGAACGATCCCTTGATCTCATGCACTCGGATTTTCGTTCGACGAAGTTAGGCAGGTCTGTCAAGATGCCAATAAGATCCCGATAGTCTAACCTTCACTATTGTTAGCCCTGACCTTAAAGGCACAGTTCGCGACCGCAAATTGCGGGAAACGGCACTCAAATAGGCACAAAAAAGTGCTAAGTATCTGATTAGCGGAGAAAAGCAGCAGAAAAAGCAGTCCGAAATGTTGTAGAGAAAGATAACATAGTGGCTACTAGCTAGTAGCTAGCAGCCGGTGAGGGTCGGCATGGGCCTAAGGGGTGTCCATGGGCCTAATTAGTCAGCTTCTAGCGGATTTCTTGCCGTTTTTCACATCTTGAAAGTAGCGCAGCCTCAAAATCGCCTTCCGGATCGTCCCGCGCACCATTCGAGAGGTTAATGCGTATTTTATGCACGGAATGTGCCTTTAATTTCCTGACATCTATTAGGGTCATTCGCGCATTCAAATCTGTGCCGAGACATATAGAGGAATGGCAGAAAAGTAAAGGGGATAGAGCAGCGGCTATCATACCATTTGGAGGCTAGTACCTTTAGCTGTGTATCTGTGAAAATTTGGCGAACCTAGCCCCAGAAGAAGTTCTCGAGAAATTGAAAAGAAGCCCGAGTGGTGAAAATCGGCGCCGGTTTTTCAAATCAGACGTCATAAGAGGAAAGTGCGCCGCTCAAATTTGACCTGCGCCGGACCATAGTTGTGTGTAAGGGTGTTCTCGAAATACACGGTGGAAGATTTGGTTCAGGAGCCCGTACAAGGAAGAAAGGAAAAAATGTCGTGGATGGTCCCATAATATTCATCCTGCACAAGAAAAAAAGGGTGGATGAAGTCAGGCACTGAATATCTGATCACAGAGCCTGGACCCTTGTCGAGCTTCCCCGCGAGTCTGACATCCCAGCTGCAACTGCTGCCCGAGTTATGTCCGATAAACTGAGGATGGTCAAGAGGGTGGCGCATGGGTACCTAATTTTCTTATAGAAGCACGAACGCAGTACCGATTCTATACCTCTAGCAGTAAATGTTTCTCAGCATGGACCATGTCACTCCACAAACTGAAAAACGCACCCCGGCCTTAGATGAAATATGGGTGGTCTCGGACCTCGAGCCGAAACTCACAATCGTCAATTTTGTATGAATGCAGATGAGAAGCCGCCCGAGTTCTACCATGAAGAGTTACGTGGGCGCAAGTGGATGATCATCATAGCAAAGGATTCCCACACTGTGGCTTTCAAGCGCTCTATACAGAGAACAAATCCGTCACTGTCGGTGCATATTGCCTGTTCCTCGGCATTCAGATCGACAAATGGATGCTACCACACAACTACAAGAAGGCCACCGTTGCTCGTCATAGTACCAGACCCCGAGTAACTGTATTGTAGATCAGTGCTGGGACACAAACAATACTGAGACCTGGGTTCAATCGCCCCATTCGCCCGTCATAAAGCCATGCGATTACAACTGTTCTATTCAGTTTAAAGGCACATTCCGCGATAAAATAAGGCTATGACCTCTCAAATGTGTCGGACGATCCGGAAGGCGATTTTTGAGGCTGCGCTACTTTCAAAATGTGAAAACGGCAAAACTCCGCTAGAAGCTGACTAATTAGGCCCATGGACACCCCTTAGGCCCATGCCGACCCTCACCGGCTGCTAGCTACTAGCTAGTAGCCACTATGTTAATCCTTTCTTCTAATAGCATTTCGGAACTGCTTTTACTGGCTGCTTTTCGCCGCTAAATCAAAGATACTTAAGCCCTTTTGTGCCTATCTGATTCCTTCCCGCAATTTTGCTGGTGCGGAATCTGTGACCTTTAAGAGTACTTCTTCGACGGCAGACGCTACAATGTTTTGTCATTTGCCGAAATTGGCAACAACAGCAATTTACCCACACTTATTGAAAAATCGAAGGTACCAGAGGTCCAAAGGCCCTCGGGGCACTGGGAGCGGGTCATTGGTGAAGGAGGGATTTACTCATCCTAAAGCTAAAATATCACTTTTCTATTTATTCTCCTCTTGGTTTTATTCAAAAAAAACCAGCGGCACGTTTGAATTGGATGATCTCATATAACAATCGATAGTTCGCTTTGTCTTTGAATGGATATTTCTTAACGACTCTTTCACTGTTATGCATCTACATTGCTTGTGCGATTCCAGATTAGCAGATCTTTTCGATCAGTATCCAGGAGATCGTACAAGCCCGCCATAAGCCCGGGAGCTTACTCTGATCAGGTAACTTAACATATTTTCTATGAAAAGATTAGAGCTGTGGGACCACGTATTCTTTTGATCGAAAATTGTAAGCATATTTTCATCGGCCCAATCCCCCAGAAGGTAGAGTTTCGTTAAAAATAACACCTGCAGGTACCTACCAACCCTCTGAGCACGAATATCACAGTTCGTGCTCAGAGGGTTGGGATCCAGGTGAACACGACCGGCATCCTGTGGATGTACAGGTAGCCAGCGTCTGTTCTAGGTCGTTTTTTTTTTTCAGCGCGTGTCTTCAAATCTTTTTTTGAGATGCGGCGCACATTCTACATCCATTCAGAAACGTAGTTCCTTATCGAATGCGTTGCAATCTATAAAACGTTCCGCCGGGGCCAGTCAATGTATAAGTCAGTAACCTTATCGCCTCCTAAATGAAACTGGTACCAATTCGCTGTCCTCACCAATTCGCTGTCCCTCGGGGGTATAAATCCCGGTTGGCCTGGGCGGGAGCCCATCTGGGGTTTGATATCCGCAACCGTGCGCTGGCAAGCGTGCCACTTGTCACTATACCACTTCCGCCTCATACTGTTTCAATACTTCCATCAGAAGCTTTTTAATGTTAGGGTGACTCTGCAATTTCTGTCCTTGTAAGAAGTGTAAGCGCTAGACGACAGTTCAAGCTCAGGGAATCGATTCTGTTACTCTCCTTCTTCTTTCTCAGTCGTGTACAGAAATAGTCCAGTAGGAAGGGGCGCAGCACATCATACACGCATTGAGATGAAGTCTGGATTACTTTCCGCCTGATCAATCAGGTCTTCGATTTCATTAGGGTTCGGTTGACTTGTTCAACACTCATACATGAGAGCATAACACTAAACTTTACATCAGATGGTCCCTATCAGTCACCTCATGGGCCAACTCGCGGAATGCCAGTGCGAAGGAAGGAAGCGTAGTGCATCATAAAAAGCGTCCACTCAGTGCCCACTTGTTCTAGCCACTATGCTTTAGAATCCACGACTGTCGTAGCTTTTTCAGGTTCTCACCCAATTTGCCAACCTTATTTCAATTTCGGTTCCTGAGAATCTGAAACTGCTCTCCTATTCATTTAACTTACTCGAAATGGGCTACTCCAGGCAAGAAGTCGCTCGATTGATAGCAAAAGAGGTAGTACATAGCACAATATAGTCTCGAAATCATGATTCCTATCAGTATTCCTTCAAGGTTTGAATTCAGAGAAGAAGACCTATACTTGAACCGGTGGATGTTGACGTCAAACCCAAAAGGTCGCGACCCGCTTCCGTAGTCGAGCCGAATGTTGAAACTACTCCAAGTCAAGATAACAATGGGAATCAATCCGACGATGAAACGTATGTTATGCTCATTCTAGAAGTTTCCTTGTGTTCGCGGTACTCGTTCGAGTGCTTATGCATTCATTACTATCATACCTGGTTCCTGAAATCGAAAATCTAGGACAAGGCCCGCGATAAGAAGTTCTCTTTAGTGGTGCTCAAATAGCGATGCAAAGTAAGCCAGTGGTGGATAGAAAACATAGGGAGAATGGTCACAAATGTCTGTGATACCCCCCTCCTATCAAGTGCATCTGTACGAGCAGGGGGTGAGCAGAGATTGTGATCGGACGAGATCACTGGACGGTGGTGTTGTGGTCGATATGGTCTCCGCAACTAATCTCAGCAGTTTTTTTTATTGAAGGTGGGTCGGGCCAAAGAGAGGAAGACTGCATCGCTTTTGCACCGTGAAAATGTTGCAATCGCTTCCTGTACGGACCAGTCTTCCTGCTCAGGAAGAGAGAGAGAGAGAGAGAGAGAGAGAGGAGAGAGAGAGAGAGATCTCAGCAGATCTCAGGATGACTGTATTCAACCGATTACAGGAAAGAGGAGAATCTTCTTCTTTAGCGCTTGTCCCGCTCAGCGGCAGGGTTCGCTCTTTTAATGTAATGGCGAAACTTTTTCCGATCAAATGACATATAGCTTCCACACTCGCTGGGCCATACAAGTGCGCGTGGGCGCCGTAGCATTATCTCGAGATTCATGTGGCATAGTTAAACACTGTGATGTGACATGGGGTGTTCGTAGGTCGGCCCGTCACGGAGGCCTGTCACCTGCTTTCGGATGTCCGCGTTCGGCTCAGCCCGCAGTAGCACCAGGTGGAGGAGCGGTCTTCACCACCAAGGGAGAGAGGAGTAACTCCTCTTCTATTTCTTGGCAGATTCATAATCGTATGCCATCGGGATAAGAAATTCGTTGCGCCTTTGTCGGACCAACGGGTCAGTGTGACTGTTTCTTTAACACGTTGACGACAACCATGTTTGACGGGAAAGACGTTCTTTCGCATGCGTCCGCTAGAACCACCAGTGGCTCATAATGTCCCTCGTGGGCCACTTTGCCGCTCTCTTAAATTTCCCAAAACGATTAAACAAACTGCAGCAAGTGCTATTCCCACCATCTTTGACCGCACTGGACACCACCTCAGGCCCCGCCTCCCTCGATCATGCCCACTTTTTTAGCGCAATCGTAATTTTTCTAATTTTATACAACAATTTCTGCTTTTGTGGTCTGTTTTTGCTTTTTTGCTCTTTCACATTCATACCATAATTCCGGCCATAAACACACTTTTCGGTAGCGCCCCGCTTCAACGTACTGGTTGTCCTTCCTGGGCAGGTAGCTCAGCCCCAAGTGGATACTGTCTCCTCTCGCGACTCCTCAGCGAGCGAGAGCGAGCTAGAACCGCTCAAAGTTCTAGTTCTAACGCCTGCTCAGTTGGACCGCCTCACTAGCTAGCTGCCCTCTGACGGAGAGCCGCTCAGTTGTTCCTTGTTGGGACGGCAGTCATTAATCGGAACTGCATGTATTTTTTGCTGTGAGCCGCGCTCAGTCGCTCGGTGGAAGATTCTTGCTCTCCTTCATCAGCATTTTATTGCAATGGTTGAGCACGTGCAGTCAACAGCAACCCATCTCGTAAGGTAAAACGCGTAAAAATCACGAATGATGCAATTTCTGTGGTGCAAAAGCTCGACGCACTTCACTACACTAAAACATGCTCGCTACCGTAACCCTAAGTTCGGACGCCGGCTTTTTAAATGTTTCCTTTTCTTTTCAAGAGTTTTTCCTCTATGTTTCTGTTGTTTTTTGTTTTCTTTTCTTCGCATTCGATGATATCCACTACTGGGAGATGTGACAAAGTGATTTGTGAGCCAGGGCTTGCACAGAGACCGCAGGGAGGTGTGACTGTCAGGTCGCGATTTTGTTTATGGTGTTCTTGAGGCTCTTGTTTCTTTTTTCCTTCATTGAGGGAATTACTTATCAGCTACTGTTTCATAATTGATCAGCAATTATCCTTGACACTTTCATCGCGTGAGCTGTCTTTAAGCGCTTTCACAGCTCTGCTCAGGCCGAGCAGGAGAATGTGATTTCCTTCCCATGCCCAGCTTTGGCAGAGCGCGGGCAACCAGGACGCTTCACGTAACCTGCGCCGAAAATTGGCGCTATATTTCTTATCAAGATGTCAAACACGCCAAACGTTCAAGTTCTTCATCAACGTTCTCTGAGTTAGAGTTTGATGTTAGGTATCGCATAGGATTGGCCGAACTTAACAGAAGCCATAGACAGACAAAATAAGTGTTTATTGTACTATAAGCCAAAATGAACGGCACAGAATGACAAAAGGAAGAAAACCATGCGCGATAAGCAACTCCAACGAATGAATCCAACAGGCTTATATAGTGGGCGCCGAAATTTCTAGAAGGGGCGTCCTACGAGATCGATGTATTGCAGATCGATGTATGGTAGACCACTAGCCCGCGCGCGCTCGAAAGTCAAAACGATTCCTGCCGCGAAGCCGCTGCGCTGCACTGATTAGCCTGTGAAGGACATTACAAAAAAATGAACAACTTCACGTTATTAATACCATACTCAACACGCGGGGCCTTAAAAAATTGACCGCTACACTCGGTCAAGACTCAGCTCCCCTAAATTCTTGGCTAATGCGCGTGCCTGGCTGCGTCTTTTCCTTTGTTCCTGCTTCCGCAGCGTCCTTTTGCCAACTCCTCCTGCCTTCACGGCGGGGTGACCACGCCCTCCCGTCGCTTTCGACGGCTCTCCAGTCGAAGTGCTTTGACGGGCACTGACTTGCGAAGGTAGGGGTTCGAGGGAGACGTCTGCGCCAAGTGCCGCGATAGGTAATGATAAAAGAGCCGCACATGCCACTCTCACTCTGCTTTCGCTTACACCTCCTCTGACGCCTCCTTGTTCTGGGTCTAAGGGGTTCTGCTACGAGCTCATCAGGGCATGTCCGCAACATGTCCATCTGTATCTTAAGCGGCTCCTCGTCTGCCCCAATACGCGTTATCAAGGCAGACGTCTCAA